AAGATACACTTATCAAGGGTCTATGATCAAATGAATAATCATTATCAATAGATTCTGTGAATATATTTTGTTTACATTATTGTAAATGATTTCATTCGACAGTTTATTGATGGTTAAATAAGACGTGAATGATCTGAATAGCAGATCTGTGTCAATTCAATGCATAGTTCAAAAATAATACATTGGCTGTGACTCATTCGCTAGTGATTATGTGACAGTTGAATATTAGTTTACCAGTCAATATTCTGTTTCATTATTTTGTTTTATTTCAGAGTGAATACTTGCAGTAGATTCGTTGATTTGAGATTACATAGAAAACGATCAGTTATAACGGCATTTGCTACATTTGTCACAAACATTCTATTTTAAAATTTCTCTCATCCAGAAGAAAGTCGTTTCAGTTGATATTACCATGAAAATTCTATGGTAGTTGTATAATCATTAGGATGGTAGTGTTCATTTATCTTCGGTGTCTTAGAATAAATTAAGAAGTACTTACATACATAGTAGTTCTCATAAGGAACGACTGAATTGAACGACCTTCAACATCCTATTCACTTATTTATTTTCCACACAAATGAACGTGTTGTTATGATCAACGATTGAAAAACTATAGATATATGAATGTTTATAACAAAAATTTGATTCATTGGTTTTTCTTTGTTTCAAGTAAATACTTCAAAACGCTGTAATAATCAATGAACACAAGGCATTTGAACGAGCTTGACGAAGTCCCTCGTAAGTGTCAGGTATATCAACTACTTGCTGTTCTAAATGAAAATGATAAGTATTCAAAATAATTTCAAAGTTTGACATAATGAAGATCAAATTTCTTTTTAGCCGCAATAATTCTTGAATATAACAAAGATACATATAGAATACCAAGATCTACTTCTTTTTATCCCAGATGAAATTTCTTAAAGAACTCACTAACATTTGTTTGTTGTAATATTATTTTGGTTGGGTCGAGTTTCTTTACACTTAATAATAACTCGAAGAATTTTTGTGTACGTACTTTTTTTCTGTGGTTTGTTGTTCGGTATCGACATACTAAAAACGAAAGAAGAAAATTATTTATCTTATCAATATTTTCAGTAAAATCATTTTATTAAAACGTATTCACTTAGGACATACTAAAAATAATACTGTCGTATTTAGTCATTTTCTAACTAGTATTGTAGAAATAAAACTTCGGCAAAGAGAAGTTTATTACTAACTATAACGATTTTGCATAAAAAAGTAGCGAAGTATTTTTTTAATAACTTTTGATAGGCTATGAAAGACAACTACAGTTGTCACAATTACAAAAGAAGATGAAGATACCTCCAACCATATGTTACATCTGTGTAACATGAGAATTCACTTCGAGTGTCAATTACAACACAGATCACTGCTAAATGATTAAATCTTGAGGGTGTGGGTGTGGGTGTGGATAGTTATATCCCATTATACCAACATCCACACCCACACCCTCTAAACAGCTCTGTATGAAAATTTAATGTTTACAATGGCAGTTAAAGAGTGATTAAATAACGAGAACTGTATTAAAAACTCAGTAGTTTTAATCACAATCAGGTCTATATGCAGTTATCGATGTTATAATCCTATTTTTGGATCAAAATAAACAGATGAGTTTCAACGTGACTAAACTCTAGATTAAATCTATTCGCAAAATATATCTCCGATAGATTTAAAAGCAATTACTCTACCTGCTCACTGGTGTGATAACTGACGGGGGATTGGCTGCAGCAGCTGTCGATATTTTTGGAGTATCCTTAAAAGATTACAATTAATGGTTTAATTTTACAGTGAAATAAGAAAAAGATACGCACTTTTGATACAGGTTTATGAAGAGAATTTGGTGCTTCAATTTCTTTTGGTGTAGCAACTGTCGATATTTTTGGAACATCCTTAAAAGATTACAATTAATGGTTTAATTTCACAGTGAAATAAGAAAAAGATACTCACTTTTGATACAGGTTTATGAAGAGAATTTGGTTGTTCAATTTCTTTTGGTGTAGTAGCTGTCGATATTTTTGGAACATCCTTAACAGATTACAATTAATGGTTTGATTTCCCAATGAAATAAGAAGAAGATACTCACTTTTGATACAGGTGGATGAAGAAAATATGGTGCTTCAATTTCTTTAGGATGTTGTGAATCATCATCATCAGAACGTTTTGTAACCATTGTTGAAATCGAAATTAATATGGATTCTACAAGAAAAAAATTAATATATTGACTTTTTTTCCGGAAAAATATGGTATCATTCATTAAGTAGAGATACATGTTGATTAACAAGAATTTCTTTTCAATAATATGTGATTCGATTCTATCAAAAAAATCGACTGTAATTTTCCAAACATTAAAAAACGGGGTTGCTCTTCAATTGATAAGATACCATCTTGAGGGTGTGGGTGTGAGTGCCAAGGATGAATATTCATACCCACGTCCACACCGTCACCCGCCCCTGTACTCACACCCACCCTCAAAATGGTAGGAATATGATTGTACGAAAAAGATGTAGCGAAGTTGTGTTGATACACTTATTTTCAAAAGTTATGAATTTTTTTCATTCCTTTACAAAAGCAGCGACCAAAGGATTTCAACGATTCAATTTTTTCTCATTGCATCTCTAATTCTCTATTATTTTCGACTAAATTTATGTGCATGAACTTTATATAGAATGACAAATTAAATTTTTACGTTTTAACTTCAACAAAAACAGGATGTTTTTAAGCAAAATCTGTATTTTTTACGTCTTAAAGTATACCCTACCTGATATATGCTGTTGACGTATAGTTGAGTTTGTTGCAGTTATACGTCGTTAATATTAGTTGCTCCTGTTTACAGGTGAGTTTTGTTTTATCATTTGTTGATATCAATGTGGGAGCAGATCTCTCCTTGCACATAGCTTCTACTGACGTTGTTGTGATAAGAAAAGAGCGCGCAATAACAAAAACTTGTTTGCTTACGCCGTGAAAATGGGTTAGAAAAACACAATGTGAAGAATGAGGGTAAATATACACTAAAACCAAATAGTCTGGATTCTGTGGGTTTGAATATTGATTTTAAGGTTTGGGTATGGGTGTGGAGACTTATTCTTGCTGACACTAAACCACACCCACACCCGCAACTTGAATACTATTCATTCCTGTATCAATAAACACTAGATCATCTCTTCCATCTCGATTTAAGTCAGTTACGTACAATGACTGACAACATTTATCAATGCAACCAATATGAGTTCCGAAAGATAAATCTTTTCGTTCAAAAAGTCCATGATCTGAGCCAATAAATATTGTTACAGTTCCATTGCAATGTAATATAGCTAAATCATCGATTCGATCATTATTAAAATTAATTCGAGCAATAGATGTCGGATAGTGATCTGTGAGATAAATCATTGGAATGGTCTTCCATTCCAACAGCACTTTATCTTTATAGCGAAGTAAAACTTGTAATGTGTC